AAATATTTCATTTTACGGGTGAATAATATGGTACCAGAGAGAAACTAAGGGAGTGACAGCAATCTAAGGAGAAATAGAAAGCACAAGTAAATTTAGTATGGTACTGTATAACATTCAGAACTTTCAGTTAACCAAAGAAGTTTTCCCAAGAGAGGTAAATGGAGGCTGTTTATAGAATGTAAAATTTTTTCCTTTGTGTTTTATGTAGTAACAATAGTCTTCTGTTTCTATAGATGGCATTTTAAAAAGTCAGCCTGACTTCAAGGCACAAATGTACTACATCCTATACAAATCTCCTGGATGGGAATGCACATTACAGTATATCAACTGACTTCTTGCCTGGGACATACCGTTTTATTAGAAAAATTCAAACTATTGCAGGCAATATGTTCTCTTAAAAGATTTGCTCTGCTATCCAACAATTGAGAGTATTTTATCATGGTAATACAATTCTTATGAATTTAAGAAATAAAAAAAACTTCATCATGATTTTCACTCATAATTCAAATCAATGGAAAAATCTGATATGACTAGCAGAAAGCTAGTTTTCGCATTTTTTTCTCTGTAAATTACAATTTCATAATCATAATKTTGCTCAAGTTATGAACTAATGGGTGAACCCCATCATATAATTTAAGAAGGAAATGTTGATGATAGTAACATCATTCGATATTATGCACCTTTTAAAACACTTCCTCAAATTCTCATGGATTTGAATCTTATAACATCCTGAAGGTTTGGGTAGATTTGAATATTGTTAATCATGTTTTAAAGAAGAGGGAAAAATGCAAGGAGGAAGACAACTAGCTCAAAGCTCACATAGAAAAATCAACATCAGGCTATTGTGTGGGATAGTTTTCCTGATTTCTCTTTCAACTGATTCATCATTGGTGTATAGGGACACAATTGATTTATGGGTGTTAATTTTGTGAAAAGGCCTTTACAATCAAAACTACAGAACACTAAAGAAAGAAGTTGAAGAAGACTTCAGAAAATGGAAAGATCTCCCATGTTCTTGGATAGGCAGAATTAATATCGCCAAAATAGCCATACCACCAAAAGCGCTATACAGATTTAATGCAATTCCTATTAAAATTCCAGTAATGTTCTTCATAGAAATAGGAAAAGCAATCATAAAATTCATTGGGAAAAAAAATAAGAGGCCCAAACAGCCAAAGCAATCCTTAGAGAGAGAAGTGAAGCAGGAGGCATCACAATAACACACCTTAAATTACACTACAGAGCTATAGTAACAAAAACCAGCATGATATTGGCACAAGAAAAACAGGCATGAAGATCAATGAAACATAAAAGAAGACACAGAGAAAAACCTATATAAATACAGTTAACTCGGGGCTGGGGCTCAGCAGTAGCGTACTTGCCTTGCAAGTGTGAGGCACTGGGTTTGATTCTCAGCACCACATAAAAATAAATAAAGATCTAGCAACAACTAAGGGAAAAATATAAAAATAAATAAATACAGTTAACTCGTACAAGACAAAGGCACCATAAACATACATTGGAGAAAAGATAGCCTCTTCAATAATTGTGATGAGAAAACTGGAAATCCATATGTAGTAGAATGAAATTGAACCTCTATCTCTCAACCTGCACAAAACTCAACTCAAAGTGGATCAAGGACTTAGGCACTGGAACTGAGACCCTGCACCTACTAGAAGAAAAGGTAGCCCCAAATTGCTATCATGCCACTTAGGAACCAACTTCCTCAATAAGACTCCTAAAGGGGAAGAAGTAAAATCAAGAATCAATAAATAGGATGGATTCAAATTAAGGAAACAATCAAGAATGGGAGAAAACCTTTGCCACCTACATCTCAGATATAGCATTAATCTCCAGGATATACAAAGAATTCAAAACCTCAACACAAAAAAACAAACAACGCAATCAATAAATGGGCAAAGGAACTGAACAAGTGTGGAGAGCAAATGAGCTCTGGTCAGCAGGTGACAGTGTGGTGTASGCAAAAGCCAAGCCTGGGAAACATTCCTTACAAAGGTGAGGATGTGAGCAGCCTTGGTATGGCCTCTGACATGAATAGTTATCCGACGTTCCAGTACAATGGGTTTTCTGGTACAGGAGGATAGCCACAGGAGGCTCCTAACACTGTAATAGCAGAACAGCTACAAAATGTTTCTAGCTCTGAAACTTTTTAGTGCAAAAGAAGCCTCCTGACAACTCACAAGCCTTGAACAATTTACAAAGCTTCTGTAGTTTACCTTTCTGATTATGAGATCCTATATAATAAACATGCTGAGCTAGTTGTGGATCGCTGTTCCTCCATCAGAGGACAGTGTCCCACCTGGCCCCAGCATTTCTTAAAAATGTCTCGGTGTTTTTCTTTGTCTCTGTGTTTTTCTTAATCTCCTATCGCCCCTACTCAAAATCCTTTGTTCTTGATGCACGGGTCATGGCAAACAAGCACTTCACAAAAGAAGAAACATAAATGGTCAAAAATATATGAAAAAATGTTTAACTTCTTTAGCAAAAAGAGAAATGCAAATTAAAACTACACTGAGATTTCATATCTCACTCTAGTCAGAATGGCAATTATCAAGAATACAAGTAACAACAAATATTGGTAAGGATGTGGGAGAAAAGGTTCGCTCATATAATGCTGGTAGGACTGCAAATTCATGTAACCACTCTGTAAAGCAGTATGGAGATTCCTCAAAAAACTTGGAATGGAACTATAATTTGATCCAGTTATCCTACTCCAAGCCTTATACTCAAAGGACTTAAAATCAGCATACAATGTTTATCAATGTTTATAGCAACTCAATTCACAATAGCCAAATTATGGAACCAACCTAGGTTCCCTTCAACAGATGAATGGATAAAGTAAATGTGGTACATGTACACAATGGAACATTACTCAGGCACAAAGAAAAATGAAATTACGGCATTTTCCAGAAAATAGATGGACCTGGAGAATATCATGCTAAGTGAAATAAACCAATCCCAAAAAACCAAAGACCAAATGTTGTCTCTGATTTTTGGATGCTAACCCACAACAAGGGAGGGTGAAGAGGGGAAGAATAGAAGTTCAGTGGATTAGACCAAGGGGAATAAAGGGAAAGGAGGGGTGAGAGGAATAGGAAAAACAGTAGAATTAATCATACAAAACTTTCCTATTCTTGTATACTAATACATGACCAGGGTAACTCTACATCCTGTAAAACCACAAGAATAGAATCCTAATTAGAATAAGTTATACTCCAGGTATATATGTCAAATTATACTCTATTGTCATATATATCCCAAAAGAATAATAATTTAAAAAAAAAGAAAATCAACATCACAGCTATTCTATTGTCTTCTTAACATCACCTCTGCTATATCAAAACACCAATACAGAGAAATAGTAGCAGTGGCAAAAATGCCATTAGCTATCATAGGTTGAGGACTGATTGTGTGCCAGGAACTATAATGAACCTAACACACACATTTACTTCATTTAATCATCACTTAGACTAGTAGTATGAGTGGATGTTGTGTTAGCTTTTGTCACTGTAACAAAATACCTGAGGTAATTAACTTACAGAAGGAAAAGGTTTACTTTGGCCCATGGTTTTGGAGGTTCAATTAAAAGATCAGGTGGCCCCATTGCTTCAGGCCTCTGTCAAGGGCAGCACATCAGAACAGGGGTGCACAACAGAACTAACTATTCACTTCATGATCAAGAGAGAGAGGAAAAGATTCGAATCCCATATTATCTTTCAAGGGCATACTCCCAATGTCCTAAAGACCTCTTGCTAGGCTGCAGCTCCTAAAGGTCTCACCAACTTCTACTAACAGGAACTTGGGAGCCAAGTTCCAACATGGACCTTTGGAGGGGACGATTCCAAACCTCCGCAGACTTCACCTTGTGCTATGGCTCGGGGACTAAGGTACACGAAGTTAAAGGGCCTAGTGCTTTTGATTTAGACCCCACAGACAGTCTGCCTGACTGCTGGGATGGTAGACTCATTCTCTCAAAGATGACCAGCGGCTCATAGATCTCACGGTTGCTGAGAAATCACCTCCTCAGTGAGAACTGCACTTTCTTTAGAATTGAAGACCCCATCCCCACCTTGCAAAGCTGGCACGCCTCACTCTGCTCCACTTCTCCACGAGGGGACCGACAAGGTTTGTTTTCAGTGTTGATGGTTAATATGAGCTCTACAGGCAAGGATCACTAGTTTCATTGCTTTTTTAACCAAAATATTCCAAATACTTAGACAACGTTGTTCATCTGAAATTTCTGGAATCATGGAAATGTTTGATTTCTGCACTATTCCATATGGTAGTCACAAGTCACAAGGACAGAGCTGAAATGTGGATAGTGAAAGTGAATATCTATTTTATTTATTACTTAACTGGCTACATAGTTGTACTGTGCAGTGTAGGCCAAGAACCACCCGGGCACCATAAGATCCCAGTAAATATTCATTAAATGAATAAATGTATAAATAAATCCTGTTTTTCTTTCCTTTTTTTTTTCTTTTTTGGTACCAGGGATTAAAACCAGGGGTACTTAACTACTGAGCCACATCCTCAGCCCTTTTTAAATATTTTACTTGGAGACACTGAGTTGCTTAAGGCCTCGCTAAGTTGCTAAGGCTGACTTTGAACTTGGTGATCCTCCTGCCTCAGCCTCCTGAGCTGCTGGGATTATAGGCCTGTGCCAATATGCCTGGCTGAACCCTGTTTTTCATATAGCTTACAAGCTACTTTCACTTACAACAAATTAAATATTACATTTTTTTCCCAACAGAATTAATTGTGAAAGAATCCAGGTTAAATTTTGAAAATTCAGAAGATACAACCAAAATAGCAAGCACAGATTTCTTTCATTATTGGCTCCCTTTTGCCATTTATGACTCAAAACCTTCCAAAACGTTTTCTGAAAACAGAGGGAAAGTAAAGCAGCAGTACATAGTATATTCCCACAGAGGCAAAATGTATATGTAATTAAAACCATTACTATAATCACTCAATACCTTTTTGACCTTGTTTTTTTTCTCATAGGTCTCTGACAGAGGTTTTTTCTTCTGTTGAGTTGTGTCTTTGGAGAATAAATACTCAAATTCACTAGTGTCCCGAATATCAGGTTCTTCTAAGGAATCCCATAAGGTCGGTGTAGCATTTTGGCTTAAATGAGAAAATGGCAAGTTAACCTTCAGAACAAAAGCAGAAGAGAATATAATACAATTATATCTACTTCGAATTCATTTTTATTTAATGTAAAAAATATAAAGCCCTCATAAAGTTTAGAGGAAATCTTTTATGCTATACTTTTAAAGTCAAAATACACCATAAAACATTTAAACACACACAAACACACACTTCCAAAAAAAGTATAGTCATTAGATAATCAGAAAGCTCTAGGGAAACATTTTGGGAATAAAAATCCTGGGTCTGAGGTTGTGGTCACAAGGTTCTCCTAAATCTGGAACATTTCTATCACATGACAGGCAAAAGTGGGCATCATTGAAGAGATAACCAATTCTGAGACATAGACATTCTTAAAGGACCTGAAAATGGAGTAGTAAGGTAAAGATCTGCCCTAATTGGACTTTTTCTGTGGGTTTTAAATATAATTTTCAGGATTAAGTAAACTTAGTTCAACGTCGTTAGTATGTGTGTAGTCTGTGCCCATTTAAAAGTATTTGATTAATAATACCCCACCTCCAACAGGGTGCTGTGGTGCATGCCTGTAATCCCAATGGCTCCAGAGGCTGAGACAGAAGGTCTGTCTTTCTCATGAAAGATGACATTTTGGTTCTGGACACATTCCATTTTTCCTTCCACTTTTTTAAATTATAATTTTTCTAATATAATAGTTGAGCCATTTAACAGTATATATAGGACATACTTAAGTTATAAAGTATAACAATATAATAAACACCTGACAAAGCATGGCTCATCCCAAGAGCTAGAACAGTCCCAGTGAGGTGAGTCATCTGTGTTACTTTCTCAGTCACACCTTYTGTGACTCAATTAATTTTGATTTGAAATCTGTATTTCAAATTATGAAATACCATTATGGATAATATTATGTTAAAGTCTCGTCTCAGCTGCATTGAGGAAAGGGGGATCTTTTTTTGGCAGGGGGGTGAAGGGGCAGTTACCAGGGATTGAATCAGGGGCACTCGAACACTAAACCACACCCCCAGCCCTTTTTATTTTTTATTTTGAGGCAGAGTCTCATTGAATTGCTTAGGGCCTCACTAAGTTGCTGAGGATGGATTTAAACTCGTGATCCTCTTGCCTCAGCCTCCTGAACCACCGTGACTACAGGTGTGCACCACTGCACCTGCCAGAAAGGGGGATCTTGATTAGGAGAGCGAGCCCTGGTAAGGGCTACTGGTCTGGGCTTCAGGCAGATTCTGGGCAGGTAAGGAGGAGTGCCTGCAAGGAAGTGTTGCTGTAATCAGRCAGACAGGTCACACCTATCTTTCCTCTACTGTAACCTGGCTGGTCAGCTCCATTGACACTGGAGTCAGGCCAGTATGGCTAGTGTTATAATTYACTGATATTCTGGAGCAAATTGAATTTGAGAGTCAAATTGAGCACCTCATTACCATTTATGGCACGGTTTCTGTGGGAAAAGCATTTCCAATTCTAAATAAATGAATTCTGGAACACCTTCTCTGAAGAGTTGTAGGGCAGTAACAAGGACTTGCTCACACAGGATGACCTGCCATAATGGTCAACTGTTTTCTGACCACTGAACATACAATTATAGCTGAAAAGGGAAGAAAAGGTGGAAGTGGGCAGGGAAGACCAAACTTACTAGAGTAAGCTGGAAAAGTAATTAGAAGAGGATTTGTTTTTCTTCAAATGTGCCTTTCCTACTCTAGAAATCGAAAAATAGACATCAAAGAAGGAAAAGTGGCAAAAGGAAAAACAAATCAGTTCATGCAAGTGGTGAAAAGGAATTTTGGTGGGTGAGCTGAATTCACATTTTGTTCCCGGTTTCCCAGAAGATCAAGAAAAAAATTTATCATGTATCTATTATACAAAGTGCTGGCCCCTCTAGCTGCACAAAATATTAAAATACCATCTCACCTCCCAAGTGATTTTCATTTTACTTATCAGTGAATACTATTCAGACTCTCCAAATCATTTTCACTGGGGAAAAAAAAAAAAGCAGTTGTGCTTGTAGGTACAAAGTATTTTGAGGGACTCAAGATGAAAAGGACTGAAAGTGTGGTGCCTATAGGAAGTGGCCATGCTAGGGTCTTAACATGGTGGAGGGCAGCCCCCACAGCCAGCACTCAGGCTCCAGGCTGACACATTCACCAAGTACCAGCTCTCTCGATGTCCCATTCATCACCTTTTCATTTTGCTCAAAAATAAAGCTCTAGATAGATCGAAAAACTAGGAGGAACTGAGTATTCCAAGTATTCAATTGTTTTCTTTCTCAAAATGGTGAACTACAAGGCTGAGGATGTAGCTCAGTGGTAGATCTCTTGCCTAGCATACACAAGGTCCTTCTGGGTTCAATGCCCAGTGCAAATAAATAAATGGCAAATGATAAAAGGAATAAAATGTGCAACAACTATTCCCAGCCTGACTTTATCCCACCTTGAGTAGTGGGCACACGGCCCATATCTTCCAGTGAAATTGTTATATGGCTGCTATGGTCTGTGATATTGGTTGTTCATGAAGTCTCTCAGGGAATGAAGTCAGACTAGTGAGACACAGGTGTGGAACAGCTCTGTGTGCTGCCAAACACACTACTCCAGGGCCAACAGGTGGGATTCATCACCCTGGAATGACTGCACACTAATTTGAGAACACTAATAAAGGAACACAACTCAAAATAAATTTTCTGGGAACTCATTTCTCAGGACATACCTGAGTCTCAGATGGGAAAGGAGACTACTAGCATGTTAGTTAATGATAGGAGTTATTTCAAGATGATCTCATTTTTTTAGGCATTCATTTGGGAAATTATAAGAATTGGCATTTAAAAGATAACAAGATAGTCTACAAATAAACTCTTGGTTTATTTTCACATGGTTTTAAGGCATTCTCCATTTCTCCTCCTGCAAGTTCTGGTTGTTTATAATTATGAGCCGCATGTTATTTTGATTAGTGTCCTGCCTTCTCTAAGCAAAATGTTGTATCAACTTAAAAATTCACTACCACATCTTGATTTAGGGAATAAGTTTAGAAATGTGTTCTCTATTAATGTTCTTTGCAAACAAACTCCAAAACTAAAAAAGTGGTCAAGAAATAACTCAACATCTTTCATTGTCTTCCTGACAGGCTCAGAAACTAGGCAGAAGTATCGAGACTCAGATCTGTTTGCAAGGAAGTTTCTGAGCCACCAGATAGTGTTGCCTTTCCGGCCAAATTTAATCACAATACAAATGAAAAGGTGCCATCTGTCTATCCATGTTAGTTATACACACACTAGTACTTTCTCTGAAGGGAAACAAGGAATAAAGATGCAAGGATGTGAGCAGGTAGATGAACTAGAGTTCAAGCAGAGGGAATTTATATTTTAGGACTTTCTTCTGATCTAAAGAACTAATAAGTCAGCCATGTCTCATTCTTTTAACAAAAACTGAAAAATACACATAACTTAAATATCCAGAACATAAGGCTGGTGATAGCATCTAAAAACAAAACAAAACAAAAGTATATCATAAAAGATACCCTAAAAGTCCTCAGTGAATATATACTATAGATTCAGTTTCTTTATGATTTCTCATTAGTTACAGGTATACTGGAGAAGTCCCTTGCTTAGACCTGGATTCTTGTCAAATCTACAAAGTGATTATCTTAGAGAAGAATCAGACACTGAACACATGTTTCTCCCAGCATCAATTTGTAGAGTGTACGAGAGGACCTGGTAGAGATGGATCTTCTCCCTAGACATTGCAAACTGATTATTTATCTAAGGAATTCTTGTATTGCATTCAAGTGGACAAAATCCTTAGAATTCACAACATGAGAACAGACCAGGGAAGAGCTTACCTCTTATCACTTATTTGTATTCTAGTCCAGTACAAAGGCTTCATAGGACAACTGGGCTCAATGGCTGGTTTCCGAGGACATTGGCTAGAAGAAGAGCTGAGTCCAAAGAAGAGTCCAGGAGGAGGTGGGGGTACAAGTCCGGGGGGTGTTGGAGCAGGAGGAGGTCCCCCACTGCTGGGTAGAGCTGGGGAGTTAGGTAGTGGTGGTGGGGGAGGAGGTAGGGGAGGTCCCGCACTTGGAGGTAGTGGGGGTGGTGGAGGGGGCGGAGGAGGAGGTGGTGGTGGCCCAGCAGTCACAGGTGGTGGTGGAGGCGCTGGTGGCAGAGGTCCAAGTCCAGGCGGGAGGGGTGGAGGGGGAGGGATGGTAGGGGGTAGAGGCGGTGGAGGCGGTGGAGGCGGTGGAGGAGGCGGGGGTGATATCTTTTGCTGATTTGATGAGATGCCTTCCCCAGTCGGAAGTGGTACATGAATGTCTTTGTTGTCATTTGGGGGAGAAAGCTGACTTAAAGAGGAGATATTCAGCTTTTTGGGTACTATTTGGTTACTTCTGGTTGTCTTGCTTTCACCTTCACAGGGTTTGAGGAAGGTCTCTCTGTCTGTCTGGACACACACATTTCTGTAGGCCTTTGGAGGGCAGCCATCATCAGTGGAGATGCAGACATCTCTCATCTCTTCACCTCCTCCTCGCCATCTGTATTCTAACTCGTGTTTAAGATTTTCAATGGTTTCTTCTAGTCTCGCTGTTATCACTGCATGCTCACCCCGGATATGAAATGCCTGAAGTTCAAATTGGGCCTGTAGGAAAAATCAGTGGGAAATGAAAGCATTTATATACATATATATGTATATAAATATAAATATTTATATTTATATATAAATTTTAAATTTTATATATATATAAAAATTCAAAATAAAAATGATCTCAATACTATCAGTGTGCCGCTGTCAAACAGCCCACATAAATGCAGTCAAATACAGGAACATTCTTTTGAGAATCCAATAGGGTGTAAATTTCACTTTATGAATTTTCCAGGGACCTACACAGTTGGGACTTGATGGGTAATTTCATCCAATCTGAGCTCATAGGAGATAATTAACTGTGGATTAAGGTTTAGAGTAAATCCGTTACTTAAGAACTTTCACCCAGTTTTCATATCAAATGCAAAACAAAATTTTTAATAAAGGTTTGAATATATCTTTCATAACTTTTGGTTTGGTTTTGGGGAAAAAAAAGAGAACTATAAGAAAAAAAGTGGTTTGGAGATCCTTCTGTTTAGCTGCTATTTTTCCAAATTTTTCTTAGAAGGTCTCCTTTATCAGGTTTCCAGGACAGTACAGCAGAAATGGAGGGCATTAAAGCAGCAATGATACATATTTTTTTAAAGAGTTCCCATATCACTACTGTCCAAGATCAGTATTTATGTCTGTTTCATAATAATTTCAACATAAATAAGTAGAAAAGGGGGAAACTAAAGTTCACCACTTTGAAATTTTCTACACATCAGCATTTTAAACTGTATTTTATGGGTTTTACAAAATTATTTTTCATGCTTATTTCTTCAGCTATTTTAATGCATTGAGTGTGTAGTTTTGCACACAGAGCTGGTGTGACTCTAAGGATGGAAGAAAACTTAGTTTTCAAAATCCAGTGAAATGGAAATTAAATATTTTTGGTGAGTTTGCATAATTTTTACCTCCCCCATCAGGTTATTAACTCCACAAGTTGAAATCAGTGTCAGTGCTGTCTTTAGTACACAGCACTGATGAGGTACATGGAGGAAGTCACTGTCATCAACATCATTGTCTCAAGACCCTTTCTATGGCTAGTTGGGTCTTTCTTCACCAAAATTTTAGCCCACAAAGATCTAAATGCAAAAGTACATACACATTCCCAAAACCTTTGATGGTGAAAAATTAAAGATATACTTCTTATGGCCTAGTTGGGCAAGATAAAGTCATAGGAAGCCTTTTTACTTTAATGTCACTTTCAATTATTTGTAATGAGGCTCAACTTCTCTCTAATGTTCATTTTCGCAAGCCAATCCCTAAATAGCTATAGTGAGCAGAATTTAAAGKTTTTTTCTAAGGCTGATCTTCTTACCTGTGGACTTGGTAGCCCTAAGCCAACTCAGATGGACTAGGAGAGTTCTAGGCACTGTCTATTTTGGAGTCTGGGTTTGAAATCACACCACCTGGCTCCCACCTTGGCTGAGCCACTTGTCAGCTCTGTGATCTTAGGCAGAGAACACTATGTCCAACAGTCTGAGTTTCCTCACAAGCAAAGTGAGGATAAAAGGGAGTCATCTCCTGGACTTTTATAAAGGTAAAATGAGACATTTATATAAAACAGCCAGTAAGTTCTGAATAAGTATTTCTGTTACTGTTAATAATGACAATATTAGAGTGAGCGACTAACAAATTCCCATTATTCTTATAAATTTTCAAATAATGTTACCTTAGTTGAGTCCTAGGCCTGGAACTAGGAAAAGCTTAAGGCATCAAGATGAACAATGTACCACAAATACAAAAGTTTTTCCAAGTTTTCATGGGTTCCACTACCAACTGCCTGAAAGTAAATTTCAAGCTTAATCCAACTACGTGGTCAAGATCATCTCTATTTCAATAATGAACCATCTCCATCTCCATCCTCAACTCCCCAACATCCTATTCTAATTTCCACCCCAAATAATTTGCTAGCATTTAATTTAATTCTCATGACTAGTTCAGGTCAGTCACCACAGACTAACTCTTACTTGGTATTCCCTACTAAACCTTCTTCCAAAAAGGCTAACAGTGAAATAACCTGACGGGGGCATCATTTGACTCAATCTTCATCTTCTTCACAAGTAAAACAATTGCAAAAACATATACCACGGATATAAGACACATCTCTATAATAGACATCTGAACCCTGTGTCTACAGCAAATGCCTGAGACACCACTTCTCAACCAAACCTGTTTTAAATCTGCTGATTTGTATTCCTATGTTGTTTTGGTGGCTCTGATTTAATACATGGGTTCAACATAGTGGGCAAAACACAAATTTGGCAGGTTATTTAACTTATCTGTTATATTTTTCTTGCAAGTAAAACAGGAATGATAATAATAGGATCCACTTCACAGAGCAGCAATAAGAGGCAGACAAATTTCCACATATAAAACATCACACAGAACAGCATTTGGAACATACTGCTGTACAGTTGCTGTCCTTATCATTGTCTTTTTCAGTGCCTGACAGATCAAAGGCCAGCAGCCACATCAACTTGCTAGGGACTTAGCACACTTCTCAGTATCTTGTATCTACCCTGTTCCATGTTCTAAAGCAAAGATAAGGATATCCACATCCTTCTTTCACACAAGTAGCTGTCATGCTCCTTCTCATCCTACCCGGGTTCCTTCACAGCAGAGCTTTTGAAAACTGTATTTGATCCTTGCTTTATGTTTTCTCACCCCTTTCCCTTTAAACCAACTGCACTTAGTTTCCATCCTACTGTCCTATTAACACCATGGTTTGATTGTCACCTTCAATCAGCATTTTTCAGTGGTTTTGCCCTCTCCTCTTGGCACTGTTGCATGTCCCTTGAAATTGCCTCTGCTTCCTTGGACGTCTGATTCTACACTCTACTCCTCCCACCCGCCTGGTGCCTGCATTCACCCTCTTCCTCCATTCATGCTTTGAATACTGATCCCCAGGCATCTTCCTTGCCATTTGTTTTCTCTCTCAGTTTCTAGGTGGTTCGATGTCCTTATATGGTAAATAAAATTCATTCACTATACGCTGGTGACTTCTAAATTCATACCTTAAGGCCATAATTCCAACTACCCTTTCAAACCAAAATCTACCTGCATATTTAATCAGCTCCCTCAGACTCAACATGTCTGAAATTGAATTCATTGTTGCTGAATCTCAATTTCTGCCCCCGCCCCATGAAATTCCTCTGGTAGTTAGTGGCATCATCACTCACCAATTACCACATCTAGAGACAGGGTAACATGCTGGGTTCACACTCAATGAACTATTTGTTTTTCAATAAGTTTCAGAGATTTCTCTGATTCATTCCTTTGTTTTCATCTCCACAACCTCAACCTTTCACTAGGTCCTCTTTACCCAGACAGTAGCAAAAGCCACCTAAGTAATGTTTTCTGACCCAAGTTTAGCCAACCCTGGTTCCAGGAACATTTTTCAAAAAAATAAATACATACTTTTTTTCATTAAAATGCCTTCACCACTTAGCCACTGCTTACACAATGACAATGGGGCATTTTAGCATAGGCAGCATTTCTCACCTGTTTTCTGCCTACTTTCTCCACTTTGGATTCTTACCCCTAACCCAGAGAAGCCCTTGATTCCAGTCTTACATAACATTACTCTTCCTGCCTCTCCCAGCACCATGCTCTTCATGCCTGTGGGGCTTTGCAATATTCACTCAGTACGCTTCTTCTGCTGCAAACACCCAAGAAAAGGGGCGAATTACCAAATATAGAGTGTCCATGAAAGGGTTCCTCACAAACCATACCCACAGATATGGAGAACAACCAAATAAGGAAAACAGTGCCTTTCCATAGACTCCACACCAATATGCTGAGATGACAGTAAGAAGCCCTGTCGATTGCTAAGATGTAAATGTCCCTGTGTCAGATAAAAACAACAACTTACCTTTGTTCTTTCCTGCTTCATGATCCCCCTTTGATTGTTCCAGTTGTGGTGCATTCATGAGCTCAGCATAACACAGTAATTTGAAGTGATTAAAGTAATAAGACCTTCATTCATTCCATATCTGTCCATATCCTATCAATTATTTCTAATTGTGCCCCGCTGTATGACAAATGAGGTATCACAGGTCCATGCATACCATGAAATAAGCTTTACAGAAAGCTAGTTTTTAACCCTATTTGTCACTCTACTACCTGTTAACTTCAACTTCTCTACACATACAAACTGTGAGCTACTTCCCCTTCTTTCTCTAGCTTCAGTTTTAGAGACACTGGTAATGATGTGGTGATTCAAACATGGGGTAGAACTTTGTTTGAAAATTATATACTCCCAGACAATACTTGCCCAGCATTCTGGTAATCTTTATGAACTATCCTTGGCCTTGTTTCTCTATTTTTTTTTTTATCTCTCCTAGCCCTGGCATTGGCAGACAAAACTAAAAATAAAGGTGGACCAAGGGAACATGAAAGACTGCTTTACTTGCACATTAAACACACTTGCAAGCAGCCAACAAGCAATTATAAATCCTCTATACATTTTTAGATAAGTATTCTTTAGGACATATGAGGCCCCACCAGTTTTTCTCTCCTGGACTCTCCCTGCTAAAGGTCCATTGCATTGACCCCAGTACATTATCTGAAAAGAGACAGCTTTGACATATTTCCAGTCTTCCCCAAGTTTTATCTACATTCCTCTACTCATAACTTGTTCCCTTCTATTATTTTCACTTTGGGTCATATCCTTTTCCCACCTGCAACAGTCTGTTGATCTACAGCCATCTCCTAAGCAAGATTCAAACTTTGAGAAGGTAACTATTAAATCATTCTGTTCTCTTTCATTTGTACTATGTCTGTTGGTCTACTGGAGGACCTCTTAGTCCAACTACCCAATAGAATCACCTGGAAAGTTTGGTAGAAGATACTGGCAATCAGACCCATTTCCAGAGATCCTCACTTAATCAGTCCAAGATAGTACCTCACACTGGTATCCTTAAAGCTTTTCAGGAGATTTCACTAGGAGCCAGAGTTGAAACCAACAGTAACTTTAGTCTGTTCTAAAACAACAGCTCAGATAGTATGAC